CATTTCTGAAATATGGCGTCTTTGAGTAGGATTGATAAATTTGCAGAAGTCTTTGATGGAGGATTAAATTCTCTACTATTACTCTACTGTCTAGTACTTTGACATCCTGTTGTAGCTTTTAAACTTTTAAATACTTCTACCTGCAATGGAGAATTCTTATAATGCATCATATGCAGGAAACTTTCATATTTCTCATAAATGTCCATACACTAGTTCTGATTTTGACTAGTCACTTTGTAGGCCTTTAATAAATCAGGGAGTTGTTAGCTGTTAATATCAAAGAGAACTTTCTTACTTAAACCGATTTCCTTAGGGAGTTTTCCTTAAATGAAGTAGACGGGATGGAAGGAACACAAGCTTGATTAAGAAACTTAAATATAAGGAGATTTGTGAAATCATACAATCTGAATTATTTAAACATATGATTAACCATACATTAGTTTAACCAGTTTATTGTAACATAACCATTTCTGATTGAAGTTTCGTGCATCATTAATTGAATTCTACAAATATAATTACGTCTGTGATCATTCCAGGAACTCTTGACCTCCAATCAGAGGACAAATTTATCAAACTGTAATTACAGCTTTTAGCATGCAGACAAGATCAGCCTCCTCCATCAGAAACCATTCGTTATGAGTTAATGAGACAATGTGAGACTTAGGAGTCACATCTAACTTAATCACTGGCTGGAGCAGACCACAAAGCACAAACCAATTATTAGAGAAAGCCAGACCTACATGTATGTGACTTCTGATCTCTAATTAACATTGAAGACATTTAATTAACCCTGTTTATGTTAGATATGATAGAACACCTGATAATCAGACAGGTCTCATTGATTTGTTCCTGGATCTGTTTATATTGAGTCACCAGGTGATGTCCAGGTTGTCCATGGAAACACAACTTTACCTGCTTTAAGAAAAAAATGCAAGATTATTAAGAATGGAATATAATTTATATAACTTTGCAACACATAATCTTCTATATGAAAAAACTAAAATATTTGTGAATTTCATAAAGTTTGATAAATATATGAAATATTTATATATATATATATATATATATATATATATATAGAATAAGCACTTTGTAATACAGAACTTTTAAGAAAATATTTTGCTTTTGAATACACATTTGTATCAAAAAAAATTTACCATATGCACAATTAAAATTTCTAAAATAATCATATAAAAAATTATCATACCTATGATGATAATTCCACTGAAAAGGTCTGACATCAGAGTGGGAAAGTTGTGATGGAATATCCCCTACAGACTGACTTTATCTGGCCTTACATCAATTATAAGGCTTAAGGTATCCATTTACGTAATTATTGATTAGTAATCCTAAAAAAAGAAAAGTGTTTTCCTTCGTCAATTGTGACTCAGTCTGAAGTCATTCTTCCTGTCAACTGGTAAAACATCAGGCACTTAACATTTCTTAAGAATTAATTTAACAGCTATATTGATTATTTTCAAAGGGGGGAAAAGACATTGATTTAGGGTAGGCAGATGGACATTTTGATCTCTGACACTTAAATGCAACATAGATTTTTGGGAAACCCCGAAAATCGTTTTTGTTCATTTTGCCATTTATTAACGTTTTATTGAAACATATGAAATCAATATAATCTTTATTTACTGAGGATAATGAATATTTGATCATCCACAGAATTGTTAGTTTATCTCAGATCTTCAGTGTTTTGTTTTTCTGAGCAGTTGGTCTGACTAGTATTAAGCATGTACACATGCAAGCACCTGCTTTGTGTGTATACCTGCATCAGCTGATTGACTCATCCATGCTGAGGTCAATTATTGATGATAATAATGAAGCAGTGTCAGTATTTTGTATTTTATACTGTGTTATGGAGGATATTGGTCATTACTCACCACTGGGAGACATGATCCATTTAAAGTTGATTCAGATGTAAATCAATATCAACATCCAAGAAATTCTATATCCTCTTTGATTTTACTTTGGAAAGGATGCTTCCAATAGAATATGGAATCTAATGTTGTTTTTGAGAATTTTTATTAAGGAAATTGAAAATGCTTATGGACCAATAATAATTTTTGTTGACTGAATGACACCTTTTATCATGACGATGATGTTTATTCTTTTGAAAGTACAAAATAATGAGTTTTGTGATGGTAAAGTGTATTGGAATTCATGACATACTGAAGTTCAAGTAAAAATATATGTTTATATCACTAAATGAAAACACGAGGAAATGAGCAGATTGATATAAGAATTTCAAAACAATTAGGACATTAGCTAATTGTTTTATGGCCTATGTGGAGATGTTAGAACAACTTTGGGTTATACTTCTGTGTAAGACTGACAGGTCACCAACAATTAGTAAATCTACTAGATATAACAGGTAAGTTTAAGATTTTACAAAGATTGAGTTTCTACTGACATAGATGACTGTCAGACTTCAGCAATATTTATCTCCTAGGTATGTTCTTTGTAGGTTTGACAAATTAGATTATTTCATATGTTGTAAGAATCAAAATGGAATTTGATATGAATTTTTTGTTTATGTAACCCCTTGTTTTATTAATTTTGTATTTATATTATGTCATAGATCAAATTTATTTGTTTATTGTATGTTCACTTGTTTTTGTTAATATGTCTTTTGATTGAGTTAATCCATTTCAATTGATATTTTATAGTGTGTCTTTCTATGTTGTGATGTTACACTATTGTTTTAGGTAGGGTGAAGGTTGGCGCCTAATAATATATTTGTTTGCACCTGTCCTAAGTCAGGAACCTGATGTTCAGTGGTTGTCGTTTGTTGATGTGGTTCATAAGTGTTTCTCGTTTCTCGTTTTTTATATAGATAAGACCGTTGGTTTTCCTGTTTGAATGGTTTTACACAAGTCATTTTTGGGGCCCTTTATAGTTTGCTGTTCGGTGTGAGCCAGGCTCTGTGTTGAAGGCCGTACTTTGACCTATAATGGTTTACTTTTACAAATTGGTTTGTTTGGATGGAGAGTTGTCTCATTGGCACTCATACCACATCTTCTTATATCTATTTGAAGAGAATTTATAAAATCAAATATTGTTGTGTATCATTTATCAGTAAGTCCATTGATAAACATTTTTATGAAATTCATATGAGTTTAATTCAAATCTGGGTAATCATTAAGTTCATTATGAGATTTATATATATAAATTCCCTCCTTAAACTTGGCTACATGTTGACTGCTGTGTTGTTTTGAATGTTTTATGTATTTTTTTTTAAACCCATGCATTTTCCTGATATACACTTGTGTTATATTGTATTGAGTCTGTCTACAGATCAATTATCAGTGTGTATGTTATAACAAAAGGTTGATAACCTTCAACTCATTGTTTTTGTGGTGGTGCCAGCATCACTTGAAGGAAAACAGGTCTAATACTTGTGTGTAACCAGACATGTTATCCATGGAGGCTGTGAAAACAAATAAATTGGCTAACATTTAACATAAAAATTACCTTTGACTTCTGTCCTGCATAGTCAAGATAGATTGATGATTAAGATCAATTCTTGGTCTTACTTGACCATTTTACAACATGTTATGGTCTTGGACAAATTAAATAAGTTTTCAGTCTAATAAAAGAACAGGTGATAGCTAGATGAAGTTTTAAAGAGGTGTCTATTCCAGTATGAAGAAAAAGTGGTGTAGCGTATTGGTCAATAGGAAGCAACCCAAGACCACAATAAAATCATAAGGGAATAACCATTAACTTCAAAGGGGGGGGGGGGGGGTTATTGATTTTTTCCAAAAAAAATATTCTGATCTCCAATTTGATGAAAACAAATATTGTGTCAAGCAGATGACAAAAAAAATTATTCTGAATCCAGTTTTCCCCCATACCTTATATATAGTTTTAAATTCTGGAAAAAAAATTTGATTGACAGTGTCGAAAAACTAAAAAAAAAGCGTGAAAAATATTTTCTGACTCAGGCAAAAAACCTTAACCCCCCCTTGAAGTTAAATGGTTGCTCCCTAAAGGATGTTGGAAAAATGCACATACAGTCTTCATCAAGAGACAAGTGTCTATGCTGTATGCCAAGATAATGGTTAGACAGGTGAATAAAGTCAATAATTAATATAATGTGCCAGCAAAACCAAATTCCCTGTAGAAAAAAATACCCTCTAAGGTATAAACTTAGGGTACTAATACAGGGATGCTTACGACTTCCAAAGAGGGTCAAATACGGTTGTTACTCAAGTTACATGTCTAAAATAATTTTAGATTGCAAATAGCTGTAAAAACATTTCTTATATAATATTGATCATTTTTATTAAACCCCACCCAACATAATTTTGATTTCTAATGCCCCTTCTAAATTGTTTGTAAAAAGAAGCAGATATTATCACCAAAAAAGTGAGACTTTCTGGTAAGATATTGGAGGGGACCGTATTCTACCCTCTATTCTTCTGAGGGAGAAATCAGATAACTTTCCTTCCTGTTTCAAGTCATGCATTACATACAATATTATGAAGAGCATACATTATTCAACAAACAAAAATGACAATGCATTTAACTTGTAAATAAATGGTATCATAGTTCTATTGTGGTCATAGAACAGAAGTAGATAAGAAATGGTGTGTCTGAAAAACAGCTAATTACTCAAAATACTCCTTGGATAATTATATATTGATTTTGAAGCAAATGTTAAAATGATTTCCTGGCAATGTATTAATATGATTACCCCAGTTCTGATTAGCAACACATGTGCTACCATGCCCTATTGCTAATATATACATTCATTTGCTGGAATGCTGGTAGAAATTATTTCTTGAGAATTTTTGAGAAAATTCACAAGGTTTTTAACAACTCATCTGATTGAATAATTTCGCACTATCTCTATAATGGAATAACAATTATTTTGTTATATTTGGAATCTTAATTACAATTTACAATAGAATCAGATTGGTTTTCTCAGAAGAAAGTGGAAAATGTATTTATGTTTTTGGATTTTATTATATAATGAGATTTTTTTATTGGATACAAGTAATCTCAAAGTGAATAATTCTTGGATGGCCAATTTTTTTCTTCATTGACTTATATCATTAAAGATTAGTTATCATTGGATTATAGAAAATAATTTTGCTGATTTAGATGGATTTAGGTAAAAAAAGGTGTTTATGATGAATGGATTATACTTTGTACTTAATGGATGATCTAAAACTTTCGGATACAGGATTTCAAATAATGATGGAGTTTGATAACTGATCTGAATTATAATGCTACAAAAACATGGTAATATCTGAAGAGTGTTTAGGATGTAAAACAATTACAGTACAAAGGAAAACACTTAACCTAGTAAAACTTGATCATAGTATCAATGGATGGTAGATGAGATGTGAAATGTTTGTATTTTCAGCCATTTTTAAATGGTTCCTATATACACCACAGTTGATATTTTAGTAGCTTTATGAACTACTTTATTTCACTCAAAAAGTTTATTTGGAAATGAAACTTTAAAAATGGATGTGTTACATGTGGTAAATATTTACAAGAACATGTGTTGAATTGGATATGTAGTGTGATGTTAATAATGACAGAGGAAGGGTATGTATTAAGATGTTTCCCATATTTTATTATCGATGCATTTTTCTTTGGTAATGGATCCAGTGTTCAAGGAAAGGGGATGTTATTGGCTGTATTAGTAAAAATTGGGGGGGGGGGGGGGGGGGGGGGGGGAGAGTGAAGAGACTGGAGATGGGGCAATTTGATGAATTTTATTTTGATTAAAGGGGGGGATAGAAGGGGGGCTTCATATTCTTTGCCGCAACCTGAATCTTTAACTACTTACTATATGTATGGATTATTTATGCCCTGCAAAAGTTCAGCAGTTTGCATATTGAGTATGGGTCTACTCTTTTATGTTTCTTTTACATCACTACATTTTATAATAGTTTTAAAATAAAATAGTTTGATCTGAAGCAAAGTTAACTTCAAACCAAAATACATCACAAGGTATAAACAGGTATGGAATGATAGACGAAAAGGTATAAACAGGTATGGAATGATAGATGAAAAGAATTTATTTTGAACCCTCTCTGTTGACCAAATAATCATAGATGTACATTAATTGTGGAATTCAAAAGCAAGTCCTGCCATATATGACTGACTAATAATAATAATTGCCTGGACTGTGAGGTCCATTTATATCATTTCAAGTACACAAAAGTTGTATAGTATAGATATCTTGTTTGATGACGATTAATGTTTTACTAACACTAAACTGCATTATGGCTCCTATTTATAGTTATATGCTATATATTAGTACTACATATTTAATCATGAATGGTATACCATACTGCTGCTTATTTTTTCGTGGGTAACAATTTTGTGTAATTTCCACTATTTCTTGATTTCATTATTTTTTCAAATTTTGTATTCATGTCAATAGGAAATTATTATTTGTGATCAGTTAGAATGTTTGTGGTCAGCCTATACCCTCTAAATCCACAAATGTTAGTCCATACAAATAATGCTGAATCCACAAAATGTAACTATGCAATCTTTTGAGTTCATACCATGTAAAAAAAAAACAGTTGTTTCCCTTTTGAGTGGATTTCAAAGTTATCGTCAAATATAAATAGAGAAAAATACCATAAAAAAATTGACTATATTATGATTTAAAATTTTTTTTTTTAAATAAAATGAAATATTGATGAAACATTAAATGAACAACATAATTTAACATGCATCATATAAAGATTACATATATAATGGGAAGATGATAATAGATCTGGTTAAACTGTGATCTTACATGAAAATGCCTGGCTGTAGAAATCTTGAAGCTGAGAACATAGTGAACATGCTGACCTCCCAAGAAACATGAATTTTTATGTATACAGAACCATTACTTTTCTTACAGAGCATAACTGAATGATAGGGGGTATTAAGTTGCTTCAAACTATTTAATAAATAGTCTGAATACTCAAAAACCATAAATTTCTGTTTCTTTTATATATTGTGGAGTAATTTAGAAGAAAGATGATATTGTTTATGTGAATCGGCAGTAATTGTTGTAAACTTGTTAGCCGATAGGAAGATTGCCAACCCATCAACAGCTGTGTTTCATGTTATTGTCTTACTAAACTTTTGAGATTCTCAGACATCTGGCAGTCCATAATGTAAGGTCACATGCCTGGACGATAGTGAGACATTGGTCAATATAGGATTTCTGGATCAAGATTATGTGTCAAGACATTCTTTTTGTTGAAATATTTCTCTAATCTAAGGGAGGGGTTGATGTTCATTTCATTGTTATCACAGAAAATTGGTGGAAACATTTATAAAGGATCATCATCTTGAAAAGTCTCCGTGGATTTGGAACTGGGGGGGGGGGGGGGATTTTCATTATGTGTCCAAAACAATACCTTTTGCATAAGTTTAACTTGTTACTGAAACTAAAATGAAAAGAGTGGCCCCCGTGAGATTCCTCTCTCTTTATTGTAATTTAACTGGTAAACCTTTGTGTCAAACTAGATCATTATTTGCTAAATTTATTCCATGTCACACTGTTGAAATGTACTAGTTTAACTCTGTAAAGCAATTGACATTTTGTTTAATTAAACATAAGTGGCAACAACCTGTCCAGATTAGTCATATATTATCTGTAGAATCTATACTGGGATCAATTCAGGGTTAACAAAAAGAAAAAAAGGATAATTCCAATAATCAGTTCCACTTCTAACTTTAATGAATGATAGTGATAATGTGTAATGCAATTTTTATGTTTTATGTTTTATTTGTTTTCTTAATGAATATTAACATACCAAGGTCCAGATGTAATGACAATTTTATAATTTTTAAACTTTCCTGTTTTTATGCCCCAATAAGGGGCATTATGTTTGTGGGTCCATTCGTCAGTCTGTCCGTCCGTCTGTTTGTCTGTCTGTCCCACTTCAGGTTAAAGTTTTTGGTCAAGGTAGTTTTTGATGAAGTTGAAGTCCAATCAACTTGAATCTTAGTACACATGTTCCCTATGATATGATCTTTTTAATTTAATGCCAAATTAGATGTTTTGACCCCAATTACACGGTCCACTGAACATAGAAAATGATAGTGAGAGTGGGGCTTCGTGTACTATGGACACATTCTTGTTTTTCTAATGATAAACATAACAATCTTTGTTCACAGCATAAATGGAAATTTTATCTCATGTCTTGGGCCTGATTGGCCGAGTGGTCTGAGTTGTTGGTCTATAGTGATCACTTTATCTGTCAACACTGAGATTGTGATCCCTGTTGTGACAGGTGCATTTGACTCCTTTGCCAGTTTATCTATCAACACTGAGATTGTGATCCCTGTTGTAACAGGTGCATTAGACTTCTTTGCCAGTTTATCTGTCTACACTGAGATTTTGATCCCTGTTGTGGAAGGTGCATTAGACTTCTTTGCCAGTTTATCTGTCTACACTGAGATTTTGATCCCTGTTGTGACAGGTGCATTTGACTCCTTTGCCAGTTAATCTGTCAACACTGAGATTTCGATCCCTGTTGTGACAGGTGCGTTTGACTCCTTTGCCAGTTTATCTGTCTACACTGAAATTGTGATCCCTGTTGTGACAGGTGCATTAGACTCCTTTGCCAGTTTATCTGTCAACACTGAGATTGTGATCCCTGTTGTGACAGGTGCATTAGACTCCTTTGCCAGTTTATCTGTCAACACTGAGATTGTGATCCCTGTTGTGACAGGTGCATTAGACTTCTTTGCCAGTTTATCTGTCAACACTGAGATTGTGATCCCTGCTTGTGGAAGGTGCATTTAACTCTTTTGCCAGTTTATCTGTCAACACTGAGATTGTGATCCCTGCTTGTGGAAGGTGCATTTAACTCTTTTGCCAGTTTATCTGTCAACACTGAGATTGTTATCCCTGCTTGTGGAAGGTGCATTTGACTCCTTTGCCATTTTATCTGTCAACACTGAGATTGTGATCCCTGCTTGTGGAAGGTGCATTTAACTCCTTTGCCAGTTTATCTGTCTACACTGAGATTGTGATCCCTGCTTGTGGAAGGTGCATTTGACTCCTTTGCCAGTTTATCTGTCTAAGGTCGTAGTTCTCTCTAGGTACCTCCAGCTTTCTCCATCATTAAAACTGGCTGCCACAATATAGCCAAGAGTGTTGAAAGTGGCATTAAACACCAACAATCAATCAATAATTCATTCCACATCCCAATTCCTCATTGTATCACTGTTTCTCATTAACAGATCATATGATATAATTGATTTGCCTTATTTTAAATATAAATTCTAAATATCAAATCTTAATTACTAAAAAAAAAGTTTTTGTTTTGTTCATAAGATTTTTTGTGAAATATGGGTTACATCTTTTCAAGTCAATATGACCTACTTTTCTTCCCTCATGATATTGACCTTCAGTGCAAGTTGTATATATTATGTAATTTTACAGGTATATCAAAGAAAACAAGTCAATGATCAGTGGCTCTCTTCAAGCACAACAGTTTCCTCCAATAAAAACTGACCACCTCGAAATAGCCAGTAGTGCTGAAAATGGCACTAAACACCAGCAATCAATCAAAGTAAACAGTGTTAGGCCACATGTAATTGTTTTTAGTAGCCTGTGATATTTACTTCAAAATGTAGTTTTACCCAAAAGATAAATAAAAATGAAATATGAATATTCTATCTCCAGACAAACTGGTTTTAAAAAAATTGTTTATCTAAAGCATTTTTCCCCTATTGATTGTGTTTGTTTATATAATTTGTACCTTCTTGATTAGGTGAACACATATTTTGCCATCAGGTAATTCCAGGTGACAGATACTTACAGGGATGATGCTAAGAAAATTATAAGTGCTATGAATTCAATCCAATTTTGAAATTAAAAAGGCACATACAATGCTTTATTATCATGTGCTTCACTTTCTTCAAATCTACTGTTGGAGTCTTGTTCTATTTTGTATGCACTTTCAGTATACCCTTAACAGAAAATGTCATGATGAATTTCAACAAGACTTCGACAGAAGTGTTGGGATATTTACACCTATTCCATGGTGTAAATATGTAAGAACAAATGTTGTTGTTACCCTGGCCTAACCCGTTAAGAACTTTTTTAAAATCGTAAGACGGCAATGATGGAGTTGTATTGATAATAGTCTATTTTCTGATATTTAGTAAACGTTTAACCAGTAAATTTACTTATTGAATAAAGACATCTTTGATTTATTTAGATATTAAAGTCTATATTTGGTTTGAGGGTATATGTCGTTGATATTATTATACACCTTCTAAACAATACACACCTGACACAGGGTCAGTTATTATCTAATTGTGTTTAAATTAATTCACAAAAACCAGGCTTTGGTTGAGCGACCTGTCACATACAGAGTTACTTATTTAATAATTGGATTAAATTAAGCTGCTTTTTCATAGTTTAAAGTTAATAGGACTTGACTTAAATTATTAACCTTAATAATTTGTATAGAGTTTTTACAACAGGTTATATATAATGTTATGGTATGGTTTGGCCTTAGGTACAGTGATGATACATGAATGAGACAATCGATCAGACACAAATATTTGTGGAGCTTTTT